ACAGGAAATGGATCACAAAAGTCAGTAGAACAATTTATTCAATAGCTGCTGAAACCTTCCAATCTGAAACAAAGTGGTGTTTATGATGTGACTCAGTGAAACTTTGCCTTTTTTCTATAGACATAATGTATGTTCTTGGTTTGTCTTACTAATCAGAGCATTTCATAGTGGGAATCACTCACCTGGGCACCAAAAGCTTCTGCTACTCTCTGCATGTCTTCTTTTGTGATGGTCTCTGTCTGCTTTACTTCTACTTTCTACTTAAACTAGTTTTGTCATTATTTTTGAAGGTATGACTCATGAAGCCATCTCCTTATCCTATAGCAAAAAGACAAATAACTTAGATTTCACTGTAAATCTACACTGGCTTCATTCAGTTAGGCAACAGTTTGTCACTTTTGTGAACACAGTGTTAAGAATGAGAGCTGTGGAGCTGTAAATACTTGCCTGGCTTGATACCCAAAAGGAATGCAGATGGCATGATCAAATCTAAACCCTGGGAGAGTGTAATCCAGCTGTGTTATGTCACCAACATGAGGCTGGTCTGTAATGTGCATGCTGATGTTGCCCTGCCCAGCATGGCAGAGACTGACTTCATATAGCAGCATGGCCAGAGAATGAGGGAGTTACAGAATAAAATACAGGGACCAGATATGTCTGAGAGTGCTGGGCAGATCTGTGGACTGTTTTAACCTTCTAACTGCTGAACTGTATTGAGAAAAAAAAACAAATGACTTGCATCTTGGCGAGCAGTTCTTTGGCTTGTGCTCCTTACCTTGACGGCTGTATCTATCTTCACAGGGGGACGGAATACATCAGATCAGAGAGGCGCTGAAGATCTTAGCCGAGAGGGTTTTAATCCTTGAGACTATGATCGGTATTCATGGTGAGTAGGAGGCCTGAGGCAGGGTCAGCTTTAGGCAGGGGTCAAAGGGGGGTGGGTGGGGGGGGGGTTAGTCCCCCCGCTGCAAACTCCCACCGTACCTCACTGCTGGGACAGGGAGTGGGAACAGTCGCGAGCAGCCCCAGGACTCAGGCTGGTGTTTCCACCCCCCTCACACAGTCCCCCCTGTCACTGCTCTCTGATAGGACATTAGCTTGCAGATGTTCCACGAATTGCAGGCAGACCTTGAGCTTCTGGCTCGCAGGGTGACGCTGCTGGAGGCTATCATCTGGCCAGGTAACGCTGAGACATCCTCACCCACAGCTCTGCCAGGCCCTCACTGACCTTTGTTTGACATCTAGAAAGCATTGATCGAGTGTTAGAAGCATTAGATTTTCTGATTACCACTTGTGTCTGAACTGCTGAATGTTGATCTAGTCACTAAAGAGTAGATGTATTTTAGAAATGTATTCTTATGTATGAATTGTGTTGGTTGTAACGATACCATGATTGTAGTGCAGATATTACTTTAAAGGCCCTGAAAACGGCCGCTATTGATTACTCAATCCAGCTTCTTACTATGGGAGAGCTGTGGTCCTACGTGAAACAAAACCTTAACATTTTGGGTTATTTCACATGAGATATTTCTGTATTTGTGCATTTTCTTGTGCTCTTCTCACTGGCTTAAAGTGGGTGGGGCTCAGTTGGATTTAGCAACATTTAAATCAAAAT